AGAGAAACATGGATCAGCTGCCTCCTGCCCGCCCCCTACTGGGGGTGTGGCTGCAACCAAGGGACATGCCCTTGACCGGAATCAAACCCGGGAACTTTCAGTCCCCAGACCAACGCTCTATCCACTGAGCCAAAACGGTTACGGCCTTTTTTTTTTTTTTTTGAAGGAAACCTCTCTTTATTTACTTCCAGAGTAATTTCCAGGCCACATTTATAGGGTTTCAATGAAAAAGAATCTTTGTCATTCTTTTATACCAAGCAACCTACATGGTTGCTTTTTTTTTTTTTTTTTTTAATCACAACTTCTTTATTCAGGAAGGTCCTTACCTGGGATACACACTGTCCCCTGGGCGGTTGAGAAAACTACATTTCCCAGAAAGCAATGCGCACACGTAGGCGGAGGCAAACGGAATTCTGATGCCTTCGCATTCGGTTAGGGCGGGACTTCCGTCAACCTCCTCGCGGCGGACGTTTAGAATTCTTCTGTTTACTGGTCTCTCGGGCTTCGGCGCCCCGGTCGGGACTGCGTCCCAGGTCGGGCCCTGGCAGCGCCACATCACCTTGTTCCCTAAGTTGCTGGGCTGGAAAGCCAGCCCTCTGCTGGGCGGTTGAGAAAACTACATTACCCAGAAAACATTGCGCCCACGCAAGGTGTTTTGGTGCCAGTGTATACGGTTACGGCTGGACTTCCGGTGTCCTCCTCCTGGCGGACATTTTTCTTTCTTCATCGGCTCCCGGGCTTCTGCGGGTCCCTCGGGAGGAGGAGGGGACGGGGAGGCGGCGCCCCGCGGGGCAGGGTGTGTCTGAGCCTGTTGCGCCGCCACCTTCGATTTTGGGGCGTCCGAGGCTCCCCGACTCCTCTCCGCGGTGGGAGAGGGTGACAGGCTGAAAAGCCGTGTGAGGCGGTGGGGCTGTGACTGAGGAGGGAGGATGGGGGAACCCAGGTCTGTCATATCCCTAAAGGCAACAAAGAAGATGAAGCGAAGTTTTGTGTGAGGACTTTTCCTTTTGTTTTCAGGAAGCTGCTGCCATCCGTGGCTGTGAACCAAAGAGGGACCTAGTGTGAGTTAGGGTTCTAGCCTCTTCTCAAAACTGCTCAGAGGAAGAATAGACTACACGGGAGAGGCCAGCAGGAGGGCGGGAAGGAGGACCCTGTAGGTGATGAGGTCACTGGCAGGTGCGCACTGGACTGAGCCCCGAGGGCGGCGGGCATCACCCCCCCGGGGCGGGGCCAGGGCTCTGAGCAGCCCGAGCCCCTGGGTCCTGGGGTGGGTGCCCGGCCCTCAGCCCTTTAGTTCCCACCGGTTCCTGCGGGTGCAGAGCCGCTGAGGGGACGGGGCTGTGGGGCTCCTGTCAGGGCCTCACTCTCTGGTGGCCTCTGAGGTCGTGGGGTCCTGGGGCTGTTGGCCCCTCTTCTCGGGGGACCTTGGACCTGGGGACCTTGAAGGGACACCAAGCCCAGAATCCTAAGCCCAGGTCAAGGGTCAGATGAGTGGCAGCTGATCTTGGCAGCCAGTGGAATTGTGTGTGACAGGTCCTTCCGCGCATGGGCTCCAGAATGTGCAAAGGCTTGGAGTGAAGACTAAGCTGATTCAGGGACGAGCAGGGGTCCATTTTTTTAAAAAATAGGAACTGGAAACAGTGGGACAGGAACCAAGTGCAGAGGAGCTTTGTGACCACTTGGGTTTCTGTTCTGCTGGTGATGGGGTCATTGGGGTCATGGGAGCAGTAGAGCAGGTGACCTGTCCCAGGTCTCATTAGACTCCCTGTGGCTGCAGCCTGATGCACAGGATGGGTGTGAGGACGGTGGTAGGAAGCCCAGGACGGAAGCTGCTGTGATAGTGCTGGTGAGTGTGAGGGTACCTGGAGCACAGTGGTGGTTGTGGGTGTGAAGACGCAGTTGCATATGGATCAGGGTTATAGGTGTGGCCCCTGGATTTTCTAATTTTGAGGATTGGAGAGAGAGATAAGAATCAGAGATGATGTGAAGGTTGGATTTAGCACCTGAAGATATGAAAGCACCATCAACTGAGAAGGAGAAATTCATAGTCAGAAAAGCAATGTTCATGGGGAATGTAAAACCTTATTTTTTCCTATTAAGTTATGAGATATTTCAGAGACCCGTCAATGACCATCTGGAACTCTGAAGAGTTTAAGATGAAGACTACTTAAAAAAATAACCATCTGCACCAGGGAGGAGTTGAAGGTCACCTGCTTCTATTGGAGGTAGAAGAGTAATTCAAAAAAGGCTAGACTTTGGCTAGTGCATATTTACTTCTTTTTTTAAATATATTTTGTTGATTTTTTACAGAGAGGAAGGGACAGGGATAGAGAGTTAGAAACATCCATCAGCTGCCTCCTGCACACTCCCTACTGGGCATTTGCCCGCAACCAAGGTACATGCCCTTGACCGGAATCGAACCTGGGACCCTTGAGTCCGCACGCTGATGCTCTATCCCCTGAGCCAAACCGGTTAGGGCCATATTTACTTCTTAAACATTCACCGGATTTCTTGTGACCCCTTGTGTGGCCTGGTGTGTTGCAGTCAGTCTGGTTGGTTTGCTTATGGGCATGAGTGGGCATCTGTGAGACTCACTGGGCATGGGGTAGAGGGCCATAGGCTGTGAGTGGAGAAGGGACATCAAGTGCAGCAGCAGTAGAGGTGGGCTCTGGGTAACTGAGATCTGATGTGGTTCTCAATAGGTGAGGTTGAAGGAAAAAACAAGTTGGGAGGGAGGCCTTCATAGCAGAACTGAAGGCTTTGTCTTGGGTTGGGGCACTCAGAGTCAGGTTAGTGCAGTGGGGCCTTGACTTATGAGTTTAATTCGTTCGGAGACCGAGCTCGTTAAGGAGCTCGTTAACTCAAATTACTCTATCAACTCAATGCAAAAAATCGGCCAAGAGACAGGTGGTATCTCAAAAAACTCGTAAGTCGGGAAACTTGTAAGTCAAGGCCCCACTGTACTTGATACTGTTTGAACTTGCCATGCAGTCTCTGGAACACACATGCTGAGTAACGACTAAGTCCAAGGAGATGTCTATGGGAGCTGGGGGTACGGGATTGCAGGTGTGAGAGAGGTGTGGGAGAAGGAGTGATGGGCCCTTGGAGAGGGAGTGTGAATTCATGGCCACAGATCCCTGATTTTAACATAGAAGGAATGAAGGTTGAGTCCATTTCTGGTGATAACTGGGGAATTTTAGAGTAATTCCTGAAAAGACTGGTGTTGTGGCACTGCATGCCAGGTCCAGAATTTAGGTGTCATATAGGTGCACACCTGCCTGTTGTTGTTGGGCTGATACAGTGATCAATGGGAATGGGATAGCACACATCAGTGTCACCTGGGCTTAAAAATCTCTACTGGCTTGGGGAAGGGAGAAGGGTAAAAGAGAAATACTTTACAGAGGAGGTGAGTTAGAAGGTTGAAAAGGTTATTAGAAAACAGCCCCTCCTCTTCATGGTGAATATGTTTTGCCTTTAAAGTTTTGACTCTGGGAACGAAGCTGTATGGGAGAAGTGTGATACAAAGAATTATGTGAAACAGGTAGAGCAAAGTGTTGGCCTCAGCACCCTAGGCCTGGAATCGAAAGGGTGACTAGTGATACCATGTTTTTCAGCGTCTTGGAGGGAGAATTTGTTGGACAAGAAGGATATTGCCCCACAAGACCAGTGTCAAATCGCTCACATCTCTCTTTATGGCCAGCATTTATCTGTTCCCTGTGTTGGTGACACCCATTGCATTGACCCTAAATGTGAGGCCCTGATGTTAGGTATAATCAGTCTGGGCATCTGCTCTATTGCTGTGTGAAGACACAGTATCAGTAGGAATATAAGGAGAGAGTGACTCTGATGGATGCAAGGCCTACTATTTTCTGTGATGAGGAAGTGGAGGGAGCAGATGCATATGGAGAGTGGGAAATATGACTAAAGTAAAAGCCTAGGGGAGAAGCTGATCATGGACTGAACTGTCCCCATCACGACAGGATATGGACTTTGAGGATGTGGCCATTGCCTTCTCTGAGCAGGAGTGGGCGTTCCTTGGTGAGGCTCAGAGACTTCTGTACTGCGATGTGATGCTGGAAGTGTTTGCACTGGTCTCATCTGTAGGTAAGTGCTTCACATTGTCTCAGGGTCGTGAGGTGATGCCCTTTCTTCCGTTATTCTCAAAACATAGCTTTCTCTCTCCCACAGCCAGACCACGGGTTCTGCTAATTTCTGCCACTGTCTTGTGAAATGTGCTGTGGTTGCCGGTGCTGAGCTGTGTGGAGGGCCCTGACCAATGGACTCCACGAACATCCCTGACACCCATTGTCTCAAAAAGTGCAGAAAGTGTATGGAAAGTGGGAGTCTTACAGGCAGCTGAATGGGTCCCACCTTCCTCTTCCTCTCCCTGGGAGGGTGACAGTACCCACATTTATTCCCTTCTTCCCCCTTCCTCTAGGGAAAGGTGCTTTATGGCAGCCTGTGCCAGGTTATGTTCTTCACTTCCATGAACCATGGGCTGTTCCTGTAAGACGCTTCTCCAGTTGTTCTTTGTAATATTACCTTAGCGGAGTACTATTGTGGGCCAAAGTGCTCTGAGCCAGAGCTGGCTGCTCTTCTCCATTGTCTTTAATTAATACTTGGAATAGTTAGGGTTTATGCATCGGTAGAGTAGAAGATCAGGGAGAAACCTGGTTCCCTACAGGGTGAACATGCAAGATGGTCTCAGAGGAGGTCTGGCCATGCTGAGTAACAACTGGGAGAAGGTATCACATAATGGTGGTGGTCAGATGGTACCAGGAACCAGCTAATTTCCATCTGTGTTTAGGGAAAGGTGCCACTGGCTGCCCCCCATTTCTACCTTCTCTTTCCCATACTTGACGCTTTGCTGACTTGCATTTCATCTGTGACTTCCTTGCTTTTGGCACCTTCACCTTTGTTACCTTTTTGCATCACCTGTCCACCTGTCCCTCGGCACTGCTCCCTGTGCAGTATTCTCCTACATGGACCTGCACATGTTTTATGAGGTGCACATAAATTTAAGAGTAGTCCTCAAAGACCTGCTATGCTTATTGAATTTGGAAGAAGACATAACCATCCTTCTGCACAGTTTGCCCCTGTCATCAGCACACCAGCCCTGCTCAGCACTGTTAGCAGAGGCCTGAGCTGGAAATGCACCTTCTCTTCCACCTGGTCCTTGCCATGTGTGTGTCATGGTTCTGGTGAGATCTTCCCTGTTTCATGACCTTCAGAGGCCCAGACCTTCACAGCAGCTTCTTATTAATTCTTCCTGCACATCTCTTGTTTTCAGACAATTTCATACAACCCAAATATTATGTGCAAAACATTTTTGCAATGGAATTTCCCGTCACCACAGTCAACATTCAGTTTCTGCTCATTTCTCTGTTTTCAGGTTGTTGGCATAAAACAGATGATTTGGAGGCCTGTTCTGAGCAGAGTTTATGTGTACAAGGAGAGTCGCAGGTCAGGGCTTCTGAGACAGCTCCAGCAACCCAGAGGACCCATCGGTGTAAGTGGTGTTTCTCAGTGTTCAAAGATATTCTGCACCTGACTGAGTCACAAGCAACATACCTTGAGGAGAAAGCCGTCTTCAATGACACATGTATGAGAGACTTCTGTTTGAGTGCAAACCCTCGCCAGCAACAGAGGGAAGCCAGTGGAGAGAAGCCCTGGGAAGAAGCTGTGGACAGGGCCTCGTTTGTGACCTGCTGCAGCTTCCGATCTTGGGTGCCTTCAAGCAATGGGGTTGGGAAAAAAGTCTCCCCAGGCATCTCAGGGCTTCTCCAGCACCAGGCCCCTCTCAACACTGGGGAGCCACACAGTGCAAGTGAGATTTCATGGGAATTTGTGAGTGGAAAAGGTCATCACAATTGGGGTGGACATGAAAACGCTGCCAGCAACAGCGGGAAAGTCATTCGACATCAGAGTGTCTGCTCTGAAGAAGTGAATAATGAGGGTAACAAATGTGGGGAAGTCTCTATACGTACATTTAACCTCAATCGACGTAGGAGAGTTCACACTGCAGAAAAGCCCTATGAGTGTACTGATTGTGGGAAGTTCTTTAGAAAAAGCACTACCCTCATTGAACACCGGAGAGTTCACACGGGAGAAAAGCCCTATGAGTGCACTGATTGTGGGAAGTTCTTCAGGCAGTGCTCTAACCTAACTCAACACAAGAGAGTTCACACTGGTGAAAGGCCCTATGTGTGTGGTGATTGTGGGAAGTCATTCAGGCAAAAGTGTGCCTTCAACAGTCACCAGAGAACTCACACTGGTGAAAAGCCCTATGTCTGTGGTGATTGTGGGAAGTCATTCAGTCAAAAGTGTAACCTCAAGAGTCACCAGAGAACTCACACTGGTGAAAAGCCCTATGTCTGTGGTGATTGTGGGAAGTCATTCAGTCAAAAGTGTAGCCTCAACGTTCACCAGAGTGTGCACACTGGTGCAAAGCCATATGAGTGTAGTGAATGTGGGAAATCATTTGGGTCCAGTCATCATCTCCTTAACCATAAGAGAATTCACACTGGAGAAAAGCCATATCAGTGTAGTGATTGTGGAAAGTCATTCAGTGAAAAGTGTAACCTTAAGAGTCACCAGAGAACTCACACTGGTGAAAAGTCCTATGTGTGTGGTGATTGTGGGAAGTCATTCAGTCAAAAGTGTAGCCTCAACGTTCACCAGAGAGTGCACACTGGTGCAAAGCTGTATGAGTGTAGTGAATGTGGGAAATCATGTGGGTCCAGTCACTGTCTCCTTAACCATAAGAGAATTCAAACCGGAGAAAAGCCATATGAGGGTGGTGATTGTGGGAACTCCTTCAGCCAAAGCTCTATGCTCATGGGCCACAACAGATCCCTGTTATTAGACACCTGTGTGTTTGTCTTCCAGCCCTGCCTTTTATTGCCTCTACAATCAGGCAGTTTACATTGAGTCTCCGAGCCTCGTTTCCTCCCCAGGAAATAGATGGTTAAGCCATGTCAGCTTGCGGAGAGGATTAAATGATATGATTCTTGTGAAGCATTGAATCCAGGGCCTGGCACGTGTAGGGCACATTGAGTAACTGTTAGCTCCATAGCTTCACAATGTGTGCTGACTGCAGACATGCAGACAATGTAGGAAAAGTCTACTTCTTAGTCTTTGTATCTTTTCAAGTTTTCTTTTTAAATGAATAGCATAGGATTATGTATGTTCTCTCATAGCCGGCTGTTTCTTGCAAAAATGTGAAATTTGTAAATTAGAAATAAAACTCTGACAGCTGGAGTGGGTCTGTTGTGTGTCATCTCATGCACAGAAAGGTTGCCTGTTCGTATCCTGTTGAGGGCAGAAGCCAGTTTCCTGGCTAGATGCCAGTGGGGTGGGGGTGGGGGTGGGGCAATGCAGGAGGCAGGCAATCAGTGTTTCCATCTCATTTCCTCTCTAAAGGTCAATTAAAAAGAAATATATATATATAATCTCCATTTAGGCTTGCAGACTTCAGGAATAATAGAAATAGCACTTCGCATCCTGAGGAGCATTCTGAGCTTCACTTAATCTGAAATATTTCTAAACATGAGAACATGGCAGACAACACTCTCGAGATTCCAGAGTCAAGACCCCAAATCCTAACGTTTTATTTCCCAATGCCACTGCCCCCCTAGCCCCCCCACCCCAACACCAGTATTTACAATGGTCAGTGCCTGGTATCATCATGCCATCTGCATGGCCATGAAAAGTACATTCCCCAAAGGGCAATACACGTAATGGTGGCTGGGTTTAGCCAATGAAAACCCAGGAGAAGCACATGGTCCCAGTGCTTATTGGTTTGGGCGGGACTTCCGTTATCTTCCACTTGGTGGTCATTTTGACCTCTTTGTTGTGTTTATGGAGGCAGAGGGTCCAGGACTGGGTTACAACCAGGAAGAGGCCTCATGGGCAGCGGCCCCGCTGTGCAGGGTGTGTCAGGCTGGTGGAGCCCCCACTGGGGGGATTAAGGCCTCGGTGCCTCCCAGACTCCTCTCTCCTCAAAGGGTTCAACTCAGCCTCATCCCATTTACCCTCCATCCGACGGTGCTGGCTTGTGTCTGTTCCTGCAGCCCATGTCACAATGTCCAGAACAGTGAGTCCCTCCTGGGTGATGTGCCCTGTGGTGGGGGGAAGGGGCTGTGGGCTGCAATGCCACTGTGTGAGGACATGGTGGTGCGGCTGAACCAGGAGGGATCCGCAAACCCAGGTCTGTTTTGTGTCTAAAGGCGACAGCAAGCAGAGGCGAGGTTGTGTGTGAAGAGTTTTACTTTCATTCTCAGGAAGCCGGGGTCATCGTTTGCCATGATCAGTAGATGGACATTGTGTGAAGGAGGGTTCTGATGTTTTCCCAAAACTGCCCAGAGGAAGAACAGTCTAGAAGGGAGAGGCCAGCAGGAGGGGCTGCAAGGAGGACCCTGTAGGACCCTGTAGGTGATGAGGTCACTGGCAGTTGCGCACTGGACTGACCGCTGAGGGCTGCAGGCATCACCCAGCCCGGGGTGTGGGCCAGGGTCCTAAGTAGCCTGAGCCCCTGGGTCCTGGGGTGGGTGCCAGGCCCTCAACAGCCCTTTAGTTCCCACAGGTTCCTGCGGGGGCCGAGCCGCTGAGGACACTGGGCTGTGGGGCTCATGTCAGAGCCTCACACTCTGTGGCCTCTGAGGTCCTGGGGTCCTGGGTGCTGTCCAGCCCCTTCTTTCCCTGGGACCTGGGACCTTGAAGAAACACTCAGCCCTGAATCCTGAGTCATGTGGGTGAGGACACTAGGGGGCGCCAGCTCCCCTCCTGCAAGTGCCGGGACCAGGAGCAGGTGGCCGGCCAACAGGGACTGAAGGAGGAGGACAGGGATCGGGGGCGGGGAGGACGCAGGTGACCAGCCTGGCGGGTACCAGGTGCGTTAACCCCCCAAGACGCGGCAGCCTCCCAGTCCGAAGGGCAGGGGCAGATGGAGGGCGGCAGGTCTTCTGAGCTGCAGGAGGAGGAAGGACAGGTCCTGGGAGAAGGCCCCAGCTGAGCCCTATTATACATTTTTAAATAAAATGTAATGTGTATTTTTATTTTCGATGGTGTTGAGATGTCTCCCATTCCCTGTGCCTATGTCCTTTGGGGTCTCTCACGATCCCCCCTCCCCTGGGGGGCCTGTCGGTCTGTCCCCTTGAACCCGGCCTCTGGTCCCATCTCCTCCCCCATCGCCCCTGGCAGCGCCTCATCACCTTCACTCCCCAAGGTCACGGCCAGGGCGGCCGGAGAAAACTACATCACCCAGAAGCCACTGCGCCCGCGTCCGCTGAGATAGGCGCGTTTGGGTTCCGGCACTTACGGTTAGGGCGGGACTTCCTGTACTGTCTTGATGGCGGACATTGTGGCTTCCGGTAACGGACCTGCAGGGTTCTGCGTATGCGCGGCTGAGCGTTGGTGGCCCGAAGGCGGGGTCGGGGGAGGCAGCGTCCCCGCTGCGCAGGGCGGGCCTGAGGCCGGTTGAGCCCCAACAACCG